CCAGTTAATCAACTAGTAATTGTAAAGCACTTTAAACATGAAAAGCACTCCTATAAATATTGGGTATGATCATATAATTACACCACCACAATCTCAGTTAAATGCACAATTGGGCATGCTCTAATCATGTAAGTGACATGTTACTAGAAGTGTTTCCAAGATAGGTGTCTTAGCCTATGCTAACCATCCTCAAGATTGGTATGTGATCCTGGAGCAACATAAGCACTCTTGATTTTGGAAATACTGGAGAGCCACTGTCTGATCAGAATGAATGTCTCTTTCCCCAGAAAAGAAATATATTTTTTCCACAACTACAAATATAGGTAATTTTTTACTTCTATTTGTCTTGCATCTTGAACACGTTGTGGACAGCACAAGGACTAGCCTGCTTTTCTGTTCATTTTTTACTTTAGTACCTTCTCTCATTAATATAATGGAAAAAGAATATCTTTTCTCAGATTCACATCCTTCAGAGTTATGCTCCATCAATGGTCTGTGTACTGTGCTGTGTGATGCACTGAAATAAATTAAAACAATTAAATGACAAAGCATTCTCCACTTTCTCCAGAGGTTAAAAAAGACATTAAGCTTCAAATAACAATATGTATGTTGCCATCTGATTATCAGTGATATATGAAGTATTGCTTCCCACTCCATTGTCTTAATTCTGAATAGTAAGCTTGTTTAAGTCTGCATTGACAACCCAAGCAGTTGTCTGTCTTCAAAAAAAAAAATTAAAATAATAATTAAAAAATAATAATTAAAAATTAAAATAATAGGTTTTGATATTTCTTTTTCTTAGTACATTTCATAGAATCACAGACTGACAGAATGGTTTGGGTTGGAACGGACATTAAAGATCTTCCAGTTCCGGTTCCCTGCCATGGGCGGGGACACCTTCCGTTAGACCAGGTTGTTCAAAGCTCCATCCAACCTGGCCTTGAACACTTCCAGGGATGGGACATTCACGACTTCTCGGGGCAACCTGTTCCAATATCTCACCACCCTCCCAGTGAAGAATTTCTTCCTTATATCTAATTTAAACCTACCTTCTTTCGGTTTGAAGCTATTCCCACTTGTCCTGTCACTAAATGCCCTTGTAAAAAGTCCCTCTCCAGTCTTCTTGTAGGCCACTTTTAGGTACTGGAAAGCCACAATAAGGTCTGTCTGGAGCCTTCTCTTCTCCAGGATGAATACCTTAACTCTCTGAGCCTGTCTTCATAGAAAAGGTTTCATAGTCTTCCAACTGTAAAATCTTTAAGAAACTCAGTTACGTCTAAGCTTTTCTCCACAAACAGAAGAGCTGAGAAACTGGGGGGGGAGGGGAGGGATATGTGTGTGTGTTTATTTGTTTTTACTCTTCTAATGAAATAAGAAATTTTGATGGACTATCTTGATTTATCAGATGAAGCAGTTACTTTACTAGATGGCGGTACCACACATTCTGTTCCTTCTTCTTTTCCTTTTTTGTCTGGTGCTCTAACTCAGTTCTCCACTCCTTGTCATCTCTTTTCATGTCAATTAAATGCTCTTTGGGGACATGAATAGGCAGTGTTTGTATACTTGTAAAGCACTTGCAGAAGACTGTAGTTGACTGGATGCAATCACAACCAAAATAGTAACGCTCAGATCTGCTGCTTTAGGTTCATTGACATCAGTTTACCCCACAATAAACCTAAGACATTTTCCAGTGCAGAACTCTTTTTCACTTCTTCCTATATCTTTCTGGAATAATTGTGTATAAGACTTGTAACTTGAACTCACATAAAAGTGTGAGTTCCCACCAAAACAATACAAGAAGACCAAAATATAAAAACTGTTTAAAATAGGAACTACTTCTGAGTGTATCTATATGTCATTTGCTGACAATAGGATTCCAGTGAGGGTGTCAAAAGTGGAATTACATAAAGCGTATATATATAAAATAGAATGTGTCATTACTGCAGTGTTAAGCTATATTTGGAAAGCACTACAACAAAGCACTTTCATTTTTTTCTTCTTTCTATTTCACAATCAGAAAAAAGTGTCTTTGATATGTGAAGCATTTTATGAGACCATCTTTTTATTTTAATAACTGCTAATTTGCACACCTAACATCAATTGCTGGTGCAATTAATTGTGGATGCAATTCAGAATGTTTAGCTGTGTAATCACCTGATTGTGCCTATAAATCAGTGACAGTAACTGACAGTAAATGCTCATTTCAGCCTGCAATTAATTTGGCCAAAATTGAAAGGACAAAAAAATACCACCCTAGGCTGAAATTTGCTCCCTAGCGTGTAAAAACAGAAAGTATCTTCCTCCTCTACCTCTTGTGTCTAAACTGCAGAGAGCTAAGTAGACAAAGAGCAATGATTCCCCAGTTCCCCATAATTCACTGCCAGTGTTTCACAATAAAGTGCTATGGGAGAGGAAATATTTCCATATGGGTTCATTAATCACAACATATTTGCCATGCACAACCACTCTGCAGAGCAGGTAAAAAACCCTGGGGGACCTTGCCTGGCACAGTATGTCATTTTTGTAATAGGAAAAGTATTTTTTTTTACAAATGCTGTAGAACTGAGGTTGCAGATGGCTCCACTGGCAGAGCTAGAGCCTCCTGGCACAACCTTCAGCAAACACAGCTACTTTAGGAATTTATAGCAAGGGTTAGTGATAACTTAAAAGAAGGATGCTAAAAATGCTGTCTGCCCCCACTATGCAATATTCCAAGGTGTGCCCCTTGAAAGTGACATATTAGGTAGGACAAACAAACCCCATCCAAAAAATAAACTGCAGAAGGAAATACAAGTCTTACCTACCCCTGTTGCACCGCAGGACTTTAACGAGAGGTCTAGGAACAATTAAATGGATTGTGACTGAGAACCTGTGGGTCCAATGGACCCCATTAATGGAACTGTGCAGCAAAAGGTGCCTTTCCAGCCCAGTGGCTTCTTTCAGATCTGGACAGCAGGCCATTTCACTTTACCTAAACCCAAAGACATCAGAGAGCGCCAGTTATCCCATCACACTCTGACCCATCCAGACCTGCTCAGTGTTTTGTGCGAGAATTACAGCTGGTGTCTTGTTCACTGCACTTCTGTGGTCTCAGTCTCTGAGCAGTTCATTGCTGCTTCACTCCACATGGGATTTTGACAAAATTCAAAGCCACCCGGTGTGATTTTAATTTAAATGTGAGTTTAATGTGTTTTCCTTTTATATTGCTATGATGTGCATTGTCAAGAGAAATGCTGCAGGCTCGGATCTGGCCTCTCAGCTGTTTCTCTGTGCTAGTCCTGGTTTTGCTCAGTGCATACTTCTGAATAAAGCTGTCACTCTGCAGTAGCATGCACATTGCGTACAAGAGTGCATTGAGTACAAGGGTTCATTGGGTACAAGTACAGTGTCATTCTTCAAGGGGGCAACTCAGTCTTGGGCTATTTGTCAGTCAGAGGCCAAAAATCTCATCAGCAGATACCTCCAGAGTTACAGCTGAACAGAGTAGGGACGAAAGTTTGCATGCAACCTATATAAAAGAGGTTTCAAAATTCACAGTGCTCCACCAGTTATGAAAAGGCTTTTAAGACAGGAACTTGTGAAAAGAAGAAATACTGAAAGACTTTATCTTAACCAATTAAAAGAATTCATATTGAAACTGGTTATAATTTATTAAAATTGTTCTTATTATGAAATATAATCTCACTTAAAAAAAACTATGAAAACATATTAAAAACATCATAAGAAAATGCTGTCAGGACCAGGATATGAAAGATGCCTTGTGAAAAAGAGAAACAGAGATCCACATGAGTTACTAGCCCATCAGGGCACTCCAGTAGGATGCAAGGCACCCTGATGCAAGACAATACCTTAATCTTCAGAATTTTTCATTAAGCAAGACTGGGTTTTTTTCAGCCAGTCTTAATTAGTGTGGAATTAAAATTGTAGGGACAAGGTGGGAGCCTAGACTTTCTGACACAGAATAACAGAGAGCAGATCAGAGTAAAAGAGCAAATCAAAGGCCACCTGGAGCAATTGCTGTGCTGCGATTCAGGTGTATCATGGCAGAGCACTGCAAACTGCAAGGATCATGACAGGCACCACAGCAGCTGGGTGGCCTGGCCATCAGAAGACATCCCTTGTTTCCTAAAACCACTCATCATTCCTGCACCAGCCAAAATCTGTGTGATGGGCTGGCTGCCATTTGTATTTCCCAATGCTTGCACAGGTCACCAGTGCTGACGTGCTTTCTGACTATTGCTTCCTTTATCTGCTGGTTACTACTCTGAGCAGCAACAGCCTGTTGGGTTCCTGGCTCCTGCTGCTTCTTACTGCTGCTGCTGCATGGGAGCTACTGTAGTGAGTCATTTCGAATCACCAAGGGAACCCACAGCCAGATCTCCACTCCTCCTAAAATAAGAACTCACAGCTACATCTTCCCTCCTCCTAAAATAATCAAACTATGAGAAAAAACCCACTATATATGTGGCAGTATCTAGAATACGATACTCAGTGTATTTGATGGGTGGAAAAGCAGGACAATGAGCTCAGCCATAGCAGGGCTCCAGGCAGTAGCAGGGCTCCACTCCAGCTTTGCAGTGCATGTGGTTCTCGATGTCCTCGTAGAGCCATGCAGAAAGGAGACTAGTTCTTTGCAGGTTCTGAGTAGAGATCATTAAAGAGTCAGCTTTGTTCCCCTCCTTACTTCAAAAACTTCTGAGGAAGGCCATGTAATCAAGATATCACCCTTATATTTCAAATCACAAAACTGAGTCCTTGAAAGAAATAATATTTAACAAATAAAACAGTGCTAAGCTTTTTTAATGGCTTTATGAGGGCTTGTCTTGTCTTCAGTTTAGTTTACTCTTATCACATCAACTATTATAAATTGAAATACAACAATCCTTTTAAATAAATGTTCATTATTTTGAAGTACATTGAAAAATATATTATTTTCAAGCGGAGGTATAACCCGTAAAATATCACTCTGCACTTCTATAACCACTCTTTTTTATTTCTAGGTATTTTCACACAATGTACTTGGGTATCCGGAGTCGACAGAGTGGAGAGAATGACAGATGGCGGTTTTATTGGAAAATGGTGTATGAGTATGCAGATGTGAGTATGCTGCATTTGCTAGCCACGTTTCTGGAAAGTGCACCACAGCTGGTCCTGCAACTCTGTATTGTTGTACAGACTCGTACACTCCAGGCTCTCCAAGGTAGGGGTTCACTTAATCTCTTTGTTTTTTATATTTTTTTGAAGATGTAATTTCCACACATATATATTTATCCTTCTTTCAAACTGCTGTATGCCTTGTAGTCCTGGTATAAGAGCGGATCTTGCCTGCTAGCTGGTATTGAGCTATTAACAATGATTCTGTCAAGAAAGCCTGTGTTGTTAGAGGGTTTTTTAGCATTTCTTAATGACCCTGGGTTGTGGGTAGGATTTATAATGTTTTGCTTTCTGCATGTCCTTGTAATAGAAGAGCTCTTCTGATTATCCAGTGGGCCAATGTGAAAATTGCATCAATCAAGCTATTGCTCTTCTCCCTGTGCTTCTTTCTGTGAATGTTCAAAACCCTCCAAACTGCAGTAATGAGGTTCATATGGCATTATGCAAAACAGAAGATGGTACAGAAGATAACACCTATTCTGTGAAGAAAATGCCAGTGTTTGTGTCTACCAGTTCTCTTGAGTCTCACGTCATCTCCTGAGCAGTACTCATTGCTTCACACTCTGTGTTTCCTTCTAAGATTGATGCTTTCAGCAAGTGTGATTACTTCTTTAAAATGGTAAATGCATGCATATGTCCTGCCATACAGTTTTGTCAGGTGATACAGATATTAGAATATCTCATCCTCTACTGCTTTTTTGATGCTACTTTTGGCTACCTGACAGCTGTCCTTTTGTATTGCCCCATTGTTTTGCCTTATGACTGCACCTGGACAGAGATTTTTAGCAAGTGAATGAAGTGAATGAGAACTTGGGATCCAGAAGGTAACAAAAATGCTGTGAGGCAGTGAGGAGTGCAGGGAGGAGGAGTGGAGAAACAGAGGGACAGAGGGAGCAAGGAAATGCAGCTTTTTTGTCATTTGTTTTTAAGAAACAGTTTGTGTGCCTGCACTGTACAAGATAAAAAGGTGACAGCACCTTACTCTGAGAAATTTTGGGTCGGTTAGCTTATTATGAGTAACATTCAGGGAGTCTGACTGGGTGAAAAAGGACTGGGCACAAAGTGGGTAACTGTGAGAAGACCTTGATCCTGGGCAGTTTCCTGTGGATAAACCAGAGGCTTTTCCTTTACCTCCTCTTTGAACAGTCATCTAATAAAGAGCTGTCCTTCTTACTGTGTTTTTGTTTCTTTAGATCTAAAACTCTGTTACCTTAAGGGGAAAAGAAACCCAAAATTTCTCTTTTAATTAGCTGGTGCTCTGTATAAGGAAGTTTGCCTAAGCGCTTCCTCCAGCTATTTCTCAAAATGGTAATGCCCCACACCAACCAGTTTGAACTATTATCATTCAGGAGAAGGTATTATCATTTCAAGAAGCTTTGTCTCCCCAAAAAAAGTGAGTCCAGAGAGAGACTTAGGAGAAGAACATAGCCAGAATACTGTATGGTCAGATGTAATTTAGCTATCTTCATAAACTATTAATACAGAGTGACTCTCGCCCTCATTTTAGCGCAATAACAGATCTGTCTCTGAGAAATGTGGTTGGTGAGTACACACTGAGCCTGTGATACACTCTGCAAGTGGTTGTTAATTAGAGAAGACCTGAAATGCTTCAATTTAAAAGGCAAAAATGGTTCCTGAAGCCTACAATCAGCTCTGTGAAATCTATGTATCAGAAACCAAAAAGGAATAAAACTATAATTATGTATTTCAGCTGAGAAGGTTGAAAATATTTACTTATCCTCTCTTCCCCCATTTTCTTCCATCTTCCAAGGAGAAAAGGCTCCATTTAAAGAAACTAAGAAAATTAAACATGGTCGTAGTATTTCCTTAAGCAGTAGTACCGTTATATTCTCCTGATGAAACCTAATATGTTTATATTTTCATCCTTACCAGCTGTGAAAGTCCTTTCTCTGTTCTCTCTCCTTTTTTAAAGAAATATTAAGGATAATGCTTTGTACCACAGGATGCTAGATTTCCTGCGAGGCTGCTTAAGGAGAGCATAATTTCTCTCAGTGATATCATGCTACAACTGGGTGTTTTAAAAGGTCCAGTCATAAGGTATATGCTTCAGCTAGCTGTCCACTCACTGAACCAGTTAGAGAGATTTCTAGCATGGATCAATAAACAGAGCATTTGATTGATTTTATTTGTTTAGAGAATGCTACTTGTTTTTTATTATTGTTCTTTTAGTTCTCTGTCCCGCAGTACAAAGTTTTTATGAGAATTGTTAAGTGACATCACTGGTCCATGTTCTTAAAAGTATATGACTTTCACAAACCACAAATTTGGCACGGGAAATGAATTGCCTAGCAGGGTATTTCTAATATCAAACCATTAATGACTGCAGGAAAAACTTTTAAGTATTTTATTTATGAAATTGTGTATTTTTCATTCCAAATGCACCAAAATAGCATCATTCCCAACAGGAGAATGCTGTCAGTGTGACTAAAGATTCCAAGTTCTGTAATGGGGGCTGGCTTAGTATGGATAATTTCTTATTTCAGTAACTAAACCCTGCTAATCAAGGTGAAAAAAACAAGCATGTGCAATGTGTGCAAATCCTTCTCTCTCAATCTTCCATACACTGTAGCGAGGGCCACTTCAAAAGGCCAGAGGATGCACCGCAGGGATCCTTTAGCACTTGCCTGGTTTCCCCAAGCATGAATTAGAAAACTGCAGCGTAAACTTCTAGCAAAGACTGTGTACCACTGCACCATGATGCTGCAGCTTATGCAAGAGGCCATCAACAGTCATGATTGGCATCTCTCTTCTGTGTCGTCACCCAGAGATGTCTGAGTATTGGTAGAAGAGTAGCTAAATTATCATCTAAAAATCTGATTCTTTTTCAAGATTTCACCAAAACTGGCACAAATAGAGGCAATGATCTTTCTTATTCTGCCTACAACCAGCAGCCAGCTCCCACCGCGGTGGAAGGAATGAAATTGCTTATGGGGGAAGCTGATGATTTCTCAGCACTAACTCCTCAAGATGAACAATTTCAGTCTGATGCTGGACTAAACTGGAGCTGTGCTAATCTCCTATTACCTCCACCTTTTCCACTCAGGTGGTTCCTTTGAGTTTGAAGAAATATCTGCTCTCTAGAAGACAGATGTACCTTGAAATAAGTAATTCCTCAGTCTTTTCCTCATGGGAGTCTGTTTCTCCTGCCTTTGCTCTGAACACAGCACTACCACAGGAACTTCTCTGCTGAACCAGCAGCACTTTCAAACTGCATTGTCTTTTTCTTCTTTTGCCTTTTTTTTCCTCCTTTTCCTCTCCCTTAGTTGCCCTGTAGGACAAACCTGCCCTAAGCAGCTTCATGATGGCAGTCACTAGCTTCACTGTTCCTGTTCTAGGTGGGAAATGTATGATGAATCGGATGGCTCTGTATGTGGGGCGAGCAAAGGCAGAAAATCCACTGAAACAACTGATGCTCAACTTGCATCTCTTTGCATAAGGGCATATGTGTGGGCAGAAGTGTCTGAACCACCTGCAGATGACCTAGTTCACCTGTCAGAAATGGTGTAACAGCAATAGCCTGGTGGCTGGGGCGGGCTTACTGACCTCAGTGCCAGCCTACTTACACCCACAGCCTGAAACTCCCTGGGGACCTGGGCCCTTTGCCCCATGTTTTTCATTCTACTCCCAGGGCTGGGCAGACAGATTCTGCACTGGCTCTACCTCCAAGTCACAGGGATTATCTCAATAAATTCAGAAGGCTGCAAGTAATTCTCTTATAAATGCTCCTATCCCTCAAGCTATTTAGCAAATAAGCAGTAGTTTCACAGTCTTTGCTATAAAAACGAGCTCTTTCACAATAAACTACCATAGACTAAGTATCAGTCAAATTTGCTGACAAAATAAGAGCAGTCTAAAGGCTACAAGGCTCTTCCTTGGTTGTGTCTCTGGACATCCAGCATAATGATCACATCTCATTGCATTTGCTCTGCTGGCTTGACAGGTCTTAGGGATGACAAAGTGATAGACAGACCTGGATGAACAAGCTCACTTAGTGGGGTTCTTCCAGTTACTTGAAGCCAGCTTCATGCAGGGTGCCCTTGAAAACCTCTAATTTAATAATGAAAAGTTCCTACCCAACCTGCATGCTCCTGTCACATCACTGGCATTCCCATGGCTGAACACTGAGTCCCTCACACACTTTTATTTTCCCCATTGCTAACCTGACTGAGGCTCAGCGGGATCCAACTGTACTCCCCAGGACAGGGGTTGTCACACATGGGTAGTGACAGACCTGGGGAGGCAAAGGGGACACAGCATCAGGGTGGGTAAGGAAGGTCAGGGCTGTCCCTTTTGTGGCATCTCATTTTGAAATCCTGTCCACAGGCCAGCAGTCATCCCTTGGCACTCTCCTTTTACTTACTTGGATTTTCCCACTATGCCATTTGATTTTAGAAAGACTTCTCATCTTAAAATGATTAAAAGCCAGCAAGCAAAAAATCCTGCTGACCATCTGACTGGAAAGAGACGTCCATCTGTTAACCTAAGTTACTATTGTCTTATTCAAGGGCATGGTGTTCTAGCTACACCTAAATGAGCAGATAGACAAGATTTCTCCCTGGATTTACCACAGATTACATTATTTTTACTGTATTAATTAACACATTGTTTAAATTATAGGTTAGCTTCTCATTGTTTATTGAATTGACAATTTTTACTTCATCAGCCTTTGGGGACTTTGTTCTGGCTTCTCCATACAGTGCTATTAATCAAAGTCTCTATCAAAGTTTAATCAAAGTCTAATCAAAGTTTATATCATATAAAGCAGTTCTTAGTGGGGACTGACAGTAGTGCAGAAGCAAAATGAGAACTTCAGAACAGTTTATAAATTCATCAAGTTTCATTGAAGTCACCACACACCACAGAGCTGCTGGATTCTGCTGAAAATGCATTTCCAGGAAAACTCCCTGGCCAACCATTTTCCCATTTTCTACCATCTCTGTTGGGAACTCCTACTCTGTTCATATGCTGACACTGCAGCCAGTGTACAAAGATTCACAGTGCCACCAAGGATCATTCTCCAGTCCT